GGAATCTTCTGGGTTGGATGTCTCCATCAGATCAGAATTTAGCAGAGGAGGAGGGCTGTTATTCATGAGACCCTCTCCCTTAACCCCAGCACACTAGACTCTGCATGCACTTTAGAGGCCAGGTATGGAGGGCGGCTTTCTGTTAGCACAGCTTTGCAGTTTCTGACTTCCGTTTCCGTCACGTGCTCCCATTCCCACTGAGAGTAGATGTAGTAGGTGAGTAGCTGGACTCAAGGTAGGATTATCTGGGTTTGAATTCTCACTGCGTAGGTTTGCTTTCTCCCATCTGTAAAATGGGAATTTTAAAAGTACCTACCACATGTGACTTTTGTGAGGACTGCTGTTGTGCAACAATACCTCTAAATGGCTTAGCACGTGGCCAACATAACAATAGGTGATCTGTTATTGTTGCTGTAATTACTGTATGAGGGCACAGTGTTTTTAAAGCTGCATGAATGCAATTACTAAAAGGACGGACTCTCCTAGCATCTAGAACATTCTAGAATGTTTTTAGGAGGAGGATTTATCTAAGCTCTTTTGGAGATGGTGGTTGTGAGGGGCCAAGCTGAAGGAAGCACCGGAGGTTGGGGACCGTGTGGGGAAACAGGGAAACATCCGTGTGTGCCTGTGTGGGTTGTGCGTGATGGGAACGTGTGAAGGACGGCTCTGAAATAGCATTAGTGTTATGGATACATGCTGGTTGGCATGAGCCATCAAAAAAAAGAACTAAAACTCTGTTTTGTCAGAATAGCTCTCATTTATGTGCATAACTCACTATTTGCTCGAAGGGATTGACACATACCATGGCTGTGCAGGTCATTAAATATATCAGATAAACTTTGCTGTGAATATTATCGGGTTTTGACAGCCACTTCTGTAATTGTTTTTAATCAGCAGTGGGTCCTGCCATTTAGGGCATGGCAACATGCAGGGCATCTAAACGAGTTGTAGTGAATGCTCACTGTAGGCGATACTGTTCACGTTCTGCCCAGACACTCCTGGATCCCTTTCCTTTGTTGTCCTCTCCGACTCCCCTCCCCTGGCTCCAGTGTGCCTTTGCGTCCACCAGCCAGCACCTGGCTGTCTTCAGAGGAGGGCCCTTGGGCCCCTGGGACTGCTGTCAGTGTGGAGAGCTGGAGCTGCCTATGGTCCATCCTCACCCCTGGGTGGCCCTTAGTCAACAGTGGACAGTGTGGGAAAATGAAAGCCCAGCACCTTGGCCTTGAGTAGGAAGAGCTCTGAGGCGTTACCATGAACCCTGAGTTGTTCGGGATGACAAAGGGGGGTCAGGCTGAAACTCACACCCATGGGACTCGGCCTAAAACTGCTGCCCTGCTTCAACTGCCCCCTCTCTTACCGGCTTCCTCCACTCCCTCCCAGGCTTCCTTCAATAAATGATTCCTGCCTGATTCCTGGTCACAGGATCTGCTTCTGGGGAACTTGAATTATATGTATTTAATTTATGCCAAATTCTGTGCTGGACATGGTGTGAACACCAACTCGTTTAACCCTCACAGTGCTGTAGGGCAGTTTTCATTACTTTATTTCGTGGCGAAGTGCACCACCTTGAATAAGAGAGAAGGGGCAGTATGTGCTTCATGGAGGTTGTCAGGGGATCGTCCCTTTGCCTTTTTTCCTGCCCACTTGGCCCACTGGCATCATGTGTGACGTGGCTGTATTATTTTTTGAAGTATCGCCATTGTCTTGGGTTAGTATATATGAACACACAGGACCATATTTGGGAATTAATATTCATAGGAAGCCCATCACTGATGAAACATATCACAATAATGCTCCTTGTTTCAGAACCTACAAGGCAATTTAGCAAAGAGGCTATAAGACCATTTCTGTATGGGAAAAACAAGTTACCAGAATGACCAGGAAGGATGCTACTTCACTTATAAGGCCTCAGCCAGAGCCCTCTGTGGGGCAGATGGCAATAAGGGGTGAATGTTTGGGGTCAGATGCATTTGAGCATGAGTCCCAGCATCTCTTCGACAAGCTTTGTAACCTTGGGCTAGTCATTTAATCTTGTTAACCCGTAATTTTCTTACCTGTAAAATGGACAATATAATATCCATTCTGTAGTATTGAAGTAAGGATTAAATAAAAGAAAACAAGAATATACATAAAGTTCTTCGCATAATGCGTGACATAGAGCAAACACAAAATCAAACCATTTTTCATTAAAAGGGTGCCTGGAGCGTGTTACATGGTGTAACTCAGTAGCTCACCTGAAACAGAGGTATACAATTGCAGACACTGATGATACAGTAAGCAGCTACTCCTGGACATCCTCGGAGGCCACGCCAGCCGTGCAGGCCACACCTTGAGCTACTGCTATAATGCAGCCATGACCTTCCAACTCAGACCTGGAGGTCTCTGGAGTGAGCCAAGCTTTCTTCACTTTTCCATCTACTAGAGAGAGGAACAGCTATGGAATAAAACCCCGCCCCTGAACTGTCTCCCCACTAGCAAAGCAGCTTGCACATTTACTAAGATTGCTTAGTGAAGCTGGTACAAGGTTGTTTTCTGGTCTGACGTGTCATTTGGGTATCACTGTAAATTCCCATGCAGTTGTAAGGACGAATACATAGAAATCTCCTTACTCTTCCCCAAGTTTTCTCCAAGGGCAACATCTACAAGCATCTGATTTCACACAGAATTTTAAAATGTTTTCATACCTGCCCTTATTTATACAAATGTATAGAAAACTCTTCTTTGCTTTAGTCAGACTACAAACTACAAGACCCAGTCCATTCTGTCAAGGATCTTAAAATCAGTCAGAGTGTGGATTTGGGGCAGGAGGAACCTTGAATCAAAAAGAGAATGCATATACCCATTCCTTGTTTTATGCCACATTAAGACTTTACAAGAAGCATTTTTCAAAACTGAAATGATTAATTGTAAAAATCTTTTATATTTTTCCCACTGGTCACATGATTAGATTAGTTAGGCAGTTAAAATTATCCACTTTTCTGCCATAACCATGGTATTCAAGACACCGTGCTTGTTTTCTGTCCAGACGTGACTCCCCTACAAGCACCTGTCTGGGAGTGAGAACCCCTTAAAGCATGCGACAATAACATTTGTGGCTGAGCCGAATACAGTGGGTTTATTTACTATTGACAAGGGGAAGCTATCACAGAAGCTATCACAGAAGCTCTCCATTACGAGCAAGCACCACCACTCCCAGGTGGCGCCTTGCAGCTGCCCTGCTTGCGCTCGCCAGTCTTTGGGGCTCAGTCTGTGGTGTCTGCAGCGCTGTTAGTGCACAGGAAGCAGCTGGGGTACAGTGTCTGCCAGGGCTGTCCATTTGTGAGGAGTAGAGCAGTTGGCTTCGTTTATTGCGTGAAATGTTTTAATTTTGCTTTCAGTTTCAGTTTCTCTCCTTGAACATTATTAATCATTTTTCTCCCTTCTCCTCCTTTCTTTCCTTGCCTCCTCCTTGAGTTTCTGCACACTCCCTCCTCACCCTCTCTTCTCACTCCCCATTTTTTCTGACTCTCCTCAGGGATCCTCTCATCTCCCCCTTCCCCTGCCTCTCAGCTCTCTGAAAAGAAAGAAAAGTCCTTTATTAAGACGTTGGGCAAAAAGCCTTGTAATCATATGTTTATTTTTATTTCATTTTGTTGTCTTCCAAAACAGGCGAGTGCAGAGCTGTGCTTCTGTCTTGCCTGCAGGGCTCGTGTGGGTATTCAGTGGCAATGACACACAGTCCGTATATAAATACACATCCTTGCGTCTGTTGTTGGGTTTGTCTGCGATGTCTGAGAGAGCAGCCTAAATGTATGTTTGTAGTAGCCACACCAAGTATTTTATACTCAGCACAAAAGAAAGGCGTAGAATTGACCATTACATAAATCACTGTTCGAATGCTGCCATTCCAAATCTTGGGCTTGGGGATTTATAGTGGGGGAGAATGACTTTTTCACCTTTCTATCTTCTACGTACAAGGGTGAGCCTGACATTGGCTCACGTGGGCCACCAAGGGAGATAGATAGCTCAGCGGACAAGTGAAAGATCAGTGACTGCAAGGTCAGCCCAAACGTAATGAGCCAAGACCCAGAGGGCTGTTGGTGAGAGAGAAAACCAAATGATGGCCAGGGCAGATGCTGACTCTGGTCTCCTGGGCAGCAGCAGGACAAAGTGGGGGGGGGGGGGTGTGGGGGGTCCAGAGATGAAATGGCAGAGACAAGCCTTGAGTACTTACAGCAGGGTTGGGATTGCGATGGGACATCACATGTAGCTTTCCTGCCCCTGCTGTCTTGGGGGTGGCGTCTGAAAAGGCAGACCTCCCACTAAACAAGCCCAATGTCCTAATTCAGTGACTATCAAAGGCATCTGCAAAACCATTTGATGAACTCTGCCAGTTTCCTACAGACATGCCTCTGTACTCCGGGAAAGGAGTTGGTGTCAGCTTTGGGTGCCATGTGAGTCTCTTATCATTTATAGGAGGAAACACAATGAACATAGAGGGAACCACACTTTACAAATGTGCGTACACAGCACTGTGGACAGGGCTGCTTGCCTGCTCCTCCGTTTTGTTCAGTGTGAGGAAACAAGGCCGGACAGGGTGCTCTCCTGCTCCGGTTCTGCCTCTGCAGTTTGTGTGTGTGCGTGTGAGCGCCCTGTGTTGTTTCCCTCGGTCGGGGGACACCCGCACAGCACTCTCAGAATGTGTCGGGTGTACTTCTCAAGGCACCAGGTGTCCTAGTTTATTTTCAGGGGAGTGCCTGTGCACTCCATGCAAAGGTACACAGGGTCAGAATTCCTTAAAAATAAAACATTAATAACAGTAAAGACCCTAAATACTTGAAGTGGCAATCACACTTGAGTAGAGAACCAGCATCAGTTGCACATGTTTACAGTGATATCAAAGAAAAATGCTAAATCTGTGTCTTAGTCTGAGGGGACAGTGAAAAGACACCAAGGAATCAATGGTGAAAAAGACATAGAAAGAATAATAAATATCTCTGGGCTTTTTCTCTTTTTTGCAGTTCTGCTTTGAACCCGAAGTGGATGATGCTGTCAGGGCGGCACCTGTGACCAAAGTCAGTGAAAAAGCCCCATCTCCTCCTTGGCCGTCAGCTGAGATAAGATGGAAGACTCTTACAAGGATAGGACTTCACTGGTGAAGGGTGCCAAGGACATTGCCAAAGAGGTGAAGAAACAAACAGTAAAGAAGGTGAATCAAGCAGTGGACCGGGCCCAGGATGAGTACACCCAGAGGTCCTACAGCCGGTTCCAGGATGAAGAAGAGGACGATGACTATTACCCTCCCGGAGAAACCTATAATGGGGAGGCCAATGATGATGAAGGTTCCAGCGAAGCTACTGAGGGTCACGATGAAGATGACGAAATCTACGAAGGGGAGTACCAGGGCATCCCCAGTACGAACCAAGGGAAAGACAGCATCGTGTCCATAGGTCAGCCCAAGGGCGACGAGTACAAGGACCGACAGGAGCTGGAGTCGGAGAGGAAAGCAGATGAGGAAGAACTAGCTCAGCAGTATGAGCTGATAATCCAGGAGTGTGGTCATGGCCGTTTTCAGTGGACCCTGTTCTTTGTCCTGGGCATGGCCCTGATGGCAGACGGCGTGGAGGTGTTCGTGGTCGGCTTCGTGCTGCCCAGCGCCGAGACAGACTTGTGCATTCCGAACTCAGGCTCCGGGTGGCTAGGTGAGTGTGTTGTGTCTGGGGGTCAAGTTCTGAAGCTGGTTAATTTGTGGAGCACAGTTAACAAGCAGAATAAATGCATTTCATCTAGAGCACTGTATTTTTTCCAGCACTTTATTATGAAAATTTTAAACGTACAAAAGAATAAAAAAATATTGTCAATGATGCCCATATGTACCCACCACTTAGGTTCCACAGTTAACATTTACTGTATTTTCTTTATCGCCTGTCTGTCCACCCACCCATGAATCCAACTTATATTTTCATGCATTTCAAAGTAAGTTAGAGCTGTATATTTTTCTTACAGTATTATAAAAACCCATTGATTTATCTTCTATTAACTTCCAAAGATATGCCCTTGGAAGTTAATAAAGTTGTTATATGAAACTTATTTGACATGTTTCTAAATACAAAGGTTAATTCTATGAAATTCTGACAAATGTGATTTTAAATTCCAAATTTTAAATTTTATGTTTAATACTATAGTTTAAATACTCTGGGACCTTGGTGATTTTTATTGTTCCAGTAATCTATGTCTATGTTTTCTTGTTAATTTTTTTTCAATTAGCCTTACTTACGGGTTATTCTTACATGACTTTTTCTATCTTTTTCTTCATACCTTTGTCCCTAAACTGGAAAAACTTTTCATATAGGATTTAAAAATCTGTTTCAAGTTATATTAATAGTTCCATGATGCCTATTAGAAATAATATGAGCTCCCTATAAAATATCTAGATAGCAGATTTGGATTTTGTTATAAAGTTGCCATGCACTCAAGTACGTGTTGTTACAAAGCTCTAGTTAACACTCCCACTTACTTGCCTTTTGCAGTGAATACCAGAAGGCAGAGAAACGTGCACACAGCCAATATCCCCAACAGCTTAGGAGTCTGTTTCAAACTCTTAGCACATCTTGCTAAGCACACCTCAGAGAACATGTTTATGTGCATATTAAATCTTGACATGTTTCAGAGTCTGTGGAAGAGAGTAAGAATACCTATTATCTCTATTTCCAAGGGACTCTTTTAAACTAAAGCTTGAAAAACAAAAATATATAGCTGTTTTTGTGGAAACTCTGTCACTTCATTAAGTAATGTGATAATCATGGATGCTGAGGGATTTTTTCTGTGAAAAACAATTAAAGATCATTTCCTAATCTGGTCTATGACAACACAAGAGAGATAGTTATGAATGAGAAAAGGATTTATACACTATTTTTTTTAACACACATTCCTTTTATGTGGCCTATTTCTTTGAAAGAACTGGGTCCATGAAAGCAGGCTGTGTAGGGGACTGGGCGAGGGGGGCATTTTGTGCATGGTTTTTGCTGGTAGACACATTTGGGTGTTCAACCATCAAAATGCAGAACATGGTTCACGAGAGGGTCTGTAGTCACTAGTCTAATTGACATTTCAGCATGCCTGTTTTGTGTCTATCACTGTATTATTTTTTCCTTTGGTGAGCAAGTATACCCACTGTAAGCCAGACCATCAAAATAATGATCAAGATTTTGTTAAAGGAATATATCAGCAGAAAGTTTTAAGAAGACAGATCCTTAAAATTGTATCTACACAAATATTTTAATAATTGCAAGCTTAAATATAGAATACATAATTTTTTATGTTATGATTCTACCTCTTATATTGGACACATTTCAGAAAATCTAAGTGGAGCTTGCCTTTGTGCCTTTATCTTCTCTGTGCTGAAAGGAAGCACAAGAAGGCGCATGGTTCTTATTTGACTGTCCCATAAATCTATCAGCTCCGATGAGGTTGCACACCCCCAGCTGGCATTCAGCAGTGTAGATGATGCTGTGAAACTATTGGAGCACAGATATTTTCTTCCTCCATAAATGTTGCCAGCTTTAGTGAATTAAAAATGTGTCCCCGGGAGTGCATGGTTTCACTCAGTGTTATGAGTCCACAACAGAAGCACCTTACTGGTTTCATCAGTGTGCCTTCCAGACTCGCATTTCAATTATTTTGCCATTGTAATTTCACTTATAATTGCATACTAATCGAGTCCTTTTTAGACAAGCGTTTAAATTGTTTTGTCATTTTCATTTCATCGAATAATAGCTTTGTAATGTAATTACCACACTAAGTCATAGCAGTGGGACCAAAATGCAGAAAGGAAAGATGCATGACCCGTGTGCTGTGGCATTTTGAGAGTATGGATTGGTAAAATAATTTCTCATTTGTTACTATGCACTGTGTCACTTTCCTCAAGGCAGGCCAGGAACAAAAAGTAAGAACCAATCTATGCTTTCATTATTTGGGAGATAGATCGATCTCTTTGTGTTTGCTACCAGATTGTCTTAAACGCAGCTAAGGGCATGTTGTGGGTGCATGTGTGTGTACATGGTCCGTCTGCATCTTTAACATTGTTAATTGGCCTGGGGAAACAGCAAATATTTAATTGGCTAGTGAACAGTTCTTTGGGGGAATAAGTGCAGTCACTTTAAGATAATCCATTGTCTATTGCTAACATCTATTTATTGAGCATTTATTATGTGCAAAGCACAGTGTCACCACAGAGGACAGTAGGTGTAGAAAAGACTAGGTTTCTGTATTCAAGGATGTTATGGTCAAGTATGAAGAAATCACAAATATGTGGCTTACTGTACAAGCAAGCAAGTACCCATAGCCATTAAAAAAGCATTCATAAGGAAACTTCAGGCAGGGAGACCACAAAAAGGGGAGACCCTGACTGAGGCGGTGGAGGGGGCATGGGTGGGAGGGCTATTCAAGGGTACAGTTGGCAAGGATTAGGTCATCGAGGAGTTCAGAAAAGGGAGGAAAGGGGCAGTTAATGAAAGAAGGCAATTCATCAGTTAAGTCATGCAGAATGGAGGTTTTAGTATAAGGGAGAAAGATGGAAGGTTTCGTTTTAGACTTCTCACTTTGGGAATTTTGGGCATATCTGAAGAGGAATACCCCATGAGCTACTTCCCATTTGAGCCGAAGCATCTAATGGTTGGGAGCCATCTCATTTAAGGTGAACCTGCCCATGACCTTAACCAGGGAGAGGGTGGTTTCCTGCTGAACACTATTTAGGGACTGGCGGTGAAGAAGATCTCATTAAGGAGACTGAGAAGGTGAAGCCAGAGAAGGGGGAGCATCCAGGAGAGAGGGGAGGTCTGGAACTTGCTGGAAGAAGGAAGGGATATGTAATTCTTAGTCACTGCAGAGTCTTGTAGTAAAGGCTGTAATGAGTCTCTCAGGTCTGGCACGGAAGAAGCTATTGACTGCTGTAAATGGCTTTTGAGAGGAACACAAGGATCTAGGCTAGGAAGTTTTTAAAGGGAGGAGCCTGTGCACTGAGTGAAGTGACAACGTTCCCTCTGATTCCCGGCCTCCGTCTCATGCAGGGTTTTCTCAGGCATCAGGCATCCTCCTGATTGCTGTGACCTCACCACGCTGCGCCTTACAGTGGGTGCTGTGTGCGCTGCCCATTCCAACCACATCTTAGCTCCAAGAGCTGGTGGGGTGGGGTGGGGTGGATTGGGGTATGGCGGGGAGCGTTGAGTTCTAAGGCAGGATAAATGTCATGACATTTTTAGTCTCAAGCTGTGACCAGGCTCAGTCCCACTCCAGCCCTCACCCATCAGGGCAGAACAAACACTTCATTGGCCATTGTCCCCCTGTGTTCTTTCTTCAGAGGGCCTGGCTTCTCACTCCATGGCTGTTTCCTTTGAAGACCCACCTAGTAAAGCAGGAACCTCATCACTATTGATTCAAAGGCTTTCTCACTGGGGGGTTACAAAGCTAGTAATACTTAGAACCTAAAGCATTATTGTGGCCAAGTGTTGGCTGGTGCAAAAGAGATGGAAAACAATATATTCTAAACCAAAATATACTTCATAACTAAACCCGAGCTAAATAATAACTAAATATCCTCTATGTGTTTCTGTTCATCTTTTTTAAGGCAAATATCAGCTGTAACACCTAATTTCCTCACTCTGTGGTAATCTCCAGCACAGAAGTTTTAGTAGTGTGGTTGAGACAAAGCTAGGTCACCATAGGATAAAAAGTGAATGATAAGAAAAATAGCATTCCGTAAGCATTAACTGAGCACCAACTATTAGCCAAATAGCTGCATTAGGAGATATCCCGATGAGCATGTCATGATCTTTGTCACCCAGACACTTCTTTACCAGTGGGACAAGTACGTGTGTTTTTTCCTGCGACAGAGATATTGATCTCAGTGCTGTATTCACAGAAAAAGGAACCACTAGACTTGCCTTTGGGGACTGGTAAAAATTGATCTAGGAAGTGACATTTAAGCAGAGTTTTGAGGATTAATAAGAATTCCCCAGGCAGATGAGAGGGAGAATGCCTTCCCAGGAAGATGTTGGTGATGTCAGAGGCCCTGAGCTTTGTAGGGAACAGTGGGAGGTCCCATGGCTGGGAGTAGTTTGGGCGAGAAGTGGAGCAGTGATTTTCATTTTACTTACTTCTCTGCTGACAGTCACATCAAGTCAGACCCTGGCATTCCTGTGTTTTCCATTGACAACTATAATGGTCATGCAGCGAAAATTTATTGAACACCTACAAAGTGACAAGCATTGTTGTAGACTCTAAAGGTATAATAGCAAATAAAACAGGAAGAAAACCTGCGGTTGGCCTTAAGCATGACTCAACCTCTCTTTCTATAGTTTTTATTTGGACAGTGGAATTTTTTGGAACATGGGAATTCGCTCGCTCTTCAACCCACCGCCCCCCATTCTCCGTTGGCTAGTTAGAGAGGCCAGTTTCCTTGAAGGCTAAACTGGATGGATATGACCCAAACGATTATATCTAATTTCTCTTTCTCCATCTGTCCATGTGCTCCTATATTCCTTTGGGCATTAACAAGAGAAAAAGTATCCTGTGGAATATCTAGCTGCTTTATTGCTAGCTGTCTATATTTTTGTAAAAAATAGCTTCATGTTTCTGAGATCCCCTGTTGACTACCCTTTGCCACGAGACTGGAGGCCGAGCACAGTGACTTGTCCACGGTGCT